CTTGCTCTGTGTGTTAAAAACTTTTTCTCCAACCATTCAGTTGAGTCGATTCAACAGTGCGCTGTCTTGAGCAGAATCAGTAGCAAACTATCCTTAAATGAATGCTAGAAAAGTTTAATAATAATCTCATATGAGATAAGACTGTGATGCTGTGTGACATATTTTGCAGCATTTTTCCTGATTTTCATCGCAATATCCCGACTACTCTGATAAAGCCGTGACGTCAATCTCGCGTTCACCTCCTGAAAGCTGGTGACTCACAGTTAGAGCGATGTCTGATGTGAACGCTGGTGCGAAATGCCGATCCTGGACTCGTTCTTGTAAATTTAGCTAATTGGTTGATCCATTGCTGAGGGTCGACCAGACAAAATAGATTGATAAAATAAACACTTAGAGACAAAATGAAGAAAAGATGCTTCGATGTTCTGATGCAGCTACTAAGGTTGGCAGCTTTCCGATTCCGCCGGTTATTGTAATTTGTTAACTACTAATACCAGATTTACACGGCAAAAACTGTAGAGTAAAATTACTTACTTTGCAGCAGTACTGCGACTCTGTAAGACAGATTACCGCAGTAATGCACCCCCTTTTCATGTGTAGTCGTCTAAAACATTGGCTATATTTTGCCAATGGATTGTGGCAAGTATATTGATGATGCGCCAGGAAGCTCTTGTTAAGCGAAACTGGGATGGGGTCTTGCATCATAATTACTGCAAGACTTAAATTGCCTAATATGTCCTTTTCTGCGACTGGAAGCAAGGGGAAATGCGTTGCATGACAATCGTCTCTCGCACGGCCGCAGTGTCGCTGTAAAGTAAGTGACTCTAAGGTGGATTTTTCGCTGTGTAAATCCGATATCAGTAGTGAAAGGGGTGAAATATTTTATTGCATTACCACACTGATAGCATCATTGAAACATGATGGCATATGTTTGTTTAGCAGATTTATAGGCGCGTGTCAAAATACTTTTAAATGAATCACGATCTGCTAATGAGGCAATGGCAACAGGAGCTTGGTAGATCTTTTATACATGTGTGTCATCGACCTTCAGAACTGCAAACAAAGTAGTCAGCTTACAGCAGATCATCGTACTCGATATCTTCGAATCTCTAGTGGTTTAACATGTTATGCTGGTTTATATTTTTGTAGCCTATTGAGATTACATCTGTCTGTTTAAAGTTAATTGCATTTGGGAGAGGAAATGATGGCCAAGTAGTCTAGAGTAGTGGCGCTGAAAGCGACATTTTTTCGTGTATATACGGAGTTGTATTTTCATATAAATTCACCGTGCTTTCGTTTCAGATACTTTTCGCGGAACTCGATCTCTACAAAAATAAGATTACTACTTTCGGCAAGCTCTCCAACCGACTGATTGACTGTTACGTCGACGATGACACCTCAGAAGTGAGTCAAGTGACCTCGGACCTGAACACAATGTGGACCAAACTGAATGACAAGTAAGACTGTGGTATTATTTATTATGTGAAGTTAACGACCCTGTAGCGAAGATGGAATGACTAGCATGCAGAAGTGAAATTAGAGTGATCATTCAAAGAATCAGAAATTGTGAAGAAGTGTGTATTTTGTCGTTGCTAGTTAGTTTCGCTGTTTGAGCTCCAGTGCCTTGTTATGACCTGCGTTTTACGCTAAATGATTAGTCTGGAAACGTTTTTTCTAAGGGAACAGCAGAGGAACAAAATGTTTGTGCGTAATCTGTATATGAGTAAGTTGGATATCTCACATTTCTCGTAGTCTTGCGACGCGCTAAAGTCAGGTTCTGATGCGCATGTTGTTTTGTTCGAGGCATTTTATGTTAGGAGCGATATAGATTACGTAATAAGCTTAATTTATTCAGGTAATACTGTTATCATTTTGTAATGCTTTGGGGTAACTGCGCACATATAGCCATTTTTCTCTCTGCAAGGCTGATGATCGGACGTAAATGCACTCACGTCTGTAATGCATCAATGGATGTTCAACTCGTTTTCAAGTCAGGGTTTCTCATTCGTAAAAATAATCCTTCACTAGGAGTCTTATTATCAATGTGGTTACCTGTTCATAGGTTTGAGTTTACGGCGATCATCTTACTTCTATTCTGGTCTCTGACTTACCATGGTTTCTGCATTCATTCGAGTGTCGTATAACATGGATTTAAATATGAAACGAGCTTTAACAAACGCATGGCATGTAGGATAACGTAGCTCGTACTTCGCAAAACGCTGTCGCTTAATTGCCACATTTGGCGTAATTCTTAACGTCTCATAGGTAGACCGAATAGATTCACAAAATGGCATGCATGAAAGTTCGATTTTTAGTTTTTGCTGGTATAAATGAGTTACTTTAATTTTCAATCTTCGTTTTGCATAACTGTAGATACTGGGCGTGTGACCACAAACGAAACCGCTAAATATGAGCAATAACCAGTAATGTGCTGTATATCTTGTGTTATTGTGAATGCCCCCAGCAGGGAGGTTCAGTTGCTGTCTGGAAACGGAAAGGATGCCATCAAGCTGTAAAGAATCAAAACCAGTCCTGATGTTCAAAAATGAGGAGACTGAAGATTTGAAGGACTATGGCCTATTTGCCTGCTCTCATAAATCTACTACCAGTTCGCTAAGATCATCGCCACAGACTCTCAGTAAGTCAGGATTCCGAAGGAGCTACAGCACAGCAGATGCCATCTTTACCTTAAATCATTTCCACAAGCGCTCATAAGATACAGTTCCCTTCTGTGCATCGTCTTTAACGAAGACGTGAAAGCTTTCGACACTGACGAGTACAACGCAATGTAGATTGCACTAACAGAACAAGGCATCGGTACCCATTATATTATTCTACCAAAGCTAGATAACTCTGGTTCTACAAACATCACACTGTTTGACACTCCCTCCAGGTTTCCTGTAGAGAACGGCTTGAAACAAAGGAACACCATTTCCCCCCCCCTAAACTTCATTGCCCATTTAAAGATGATATTGGGGGGGGGATAAACTGGAAGGATTGGATTGACCTTAGTGAACAACTCAGCCACCTACGGTTCGGATGACGTTATATTGTTTGCGGAGAATGCCAGTTAGCCGGTCAAGACATGCTGCAAATGTTTGAGAGAGAAAATGTGTAGAAGTCGGACTGCGAAACAATCGGTTTAAGGCGAAGATACGGCAGTCAGGTGCCCTGTCAAAGGTCCAAGTAATACTACACAGTGGAAAGATCGAAGTCGTAAATACATTCCCTAGTTCAAGAAGTCAAATCCAGCATGATCAGACTAGAGAGATTCAGCAGCGAAGCAAGACGGCGCCCGTTCCATTACATCAGAAACGAACCTCTTCGGTAACATCGGTAAAGAACCCCGTTCCCCCATCATCAAATCTAGCATCCTGAAAGCAATGTTGTATAACCCTGAGGCGTGTTCACTCACTCAA